GCACACTGTCTTAATTTACCTTGGTCAAGTTGTGCAGGCTTTGCCCATATTTGGTATTGCCTTTCCCATCACCAAAAATAAGAAGTGTCTATTTCTAGAAAGTAATTCCCTTCCCATCTCTGGTAACCATCAAAGAACGTTGCTTTCTGTGTGTATATCTATTCTTGACTTTTTGTAATAGTGGGACCATAAAATATTTGTCCTTTTGTGATTGACTTATTTCACTAAACGTATAACATCCACGTTATGTTTCACAGACTTCTCATTATTCTTTACAGTTGTGTAGTATTTCATTGTATGTAGGTACCACATTTGTTTATCCATTCATCCACTGATGGGCACTTAGGTTGCTTCCATCTTTTTGCTGCAATGAACATAGGTGTGAATATGCCTATTTGTGTCACTGCTCTTATCTCTTGGATACATACCTAGGAGTGGGATCGCTGAATCATAAGGTATTTCTATTTCTAGCTTTTTGAGGAAGCGCCATACCATTTTCCATAGTGGATGTACCATTTTACAATCCCACCAGCAGTGTGTAAGAGTTCCAGTATCCCCACATCCTCACAAGCATTTGTTGTTCTCTGGTTTTTTTTTTTTTTTTTGATCAGGGCCATTTTTGCAGGGATGAGATGGTATCTCATTGTAGTTTTGATTTGCATCTCTGTAATGGCTAATGATCACAAGCACCTTTTCATGTATTTGTTGGCCACCTGAATGCCCTCTTTGGTGAAGTGTCTGTTCATGTCCTTTTGCCCATTTTTTGATTGGATTGTCTTTTTGTTGTTGAGTTTAAATTGCATTTTTTTTTTTACACCTTAACTCTGAAATTGGGATGAGTTTTCCAAGCCATGCCTGTTGTAGTTTAATGTGAATGTGATACATATGATAATGTTATGCTTTACAATTGATGGCCTCTTAGAGTAGAGGCTGTATGACAGCTTCTGAACATTACCTACCTTAAATCACATCTCAGCAAACAATCTGGGGGTTTCTGATCTCCAACATCCATCTCCATCTTGGAAGGGGCTGGCTCCTGGTGGTTCCTATCTTCTGGAAGCACCATCCAAGCTGGCCATTCTACCTGGGGATCCTCTGGAAGAGGCTGGCCATGGTCCAGATTCCAGGATGAAAGGGACTGTCTTAGTCATCTAGTGCTGCTATAACAGAAATACCACAAGTGGATGGTTTTAACGAGAAGACGTTTATTTCCTCACAGTCAAAGCAGGCTAAAAGTCCAAATTCAGGGTGTCAGCTCCAGGGGAAGTCTTTCTCTCTCTCGGCCTTCTCATCAGTGTTCCCCCAGACTAGGAGCTTCTCGGCACAGGGACCCGGTCCAAAGGACGCGCTCTGCTCCCGGCACTGCTTTCTTGATGGTATGAGGTCCCCCCATCTCTCTGCTCACTTCTGTCTTTTATATCTCAAGACACTGCCTCAGGATACAATCCAATCTTGTAGACTGAGTCCTGCCTTACTAACACAACTGCCACCCATCCTCCCTCATTAACATCATAGAGGCAGGATTTACAACATATAGGAAAACCACACAATACCAGGAATCATGGCCCAGCCAAACTGGTACACATTTTGGGGGGCCATAATTCAATCCATGACAGGGACCAAACCAAACCGTTGAAGCTGGCTGGGATGAGGGCCTTGGCTCTGACCATAACTGTCATGGAGATGCTTTGCCACATCGTGACATGACAGCCCAACTCTGGGCAGCCCCCTTCTCTTCTGCTAAATGGTGGCTCTAGCCAAGAAAGTGAATTTTTAAGAGTCACAGATGGTTTGTAAAGTAAAGGCCCATGAGAACTTGGCTTAGTGGCTTTGTGCTATTAACAGGAAATGAGGGGAATGCAGTTTGGATAGGCTTCACCCAGGCAGGATGGAAAGGGTTAAGACATGTTCAAGTCTGGACGCTGCTATCTGCTAGCTACTTGATCTTGTGCAATCCACCCTCCCGCTAAACCTTCGTTCCCTAATTGGAAAAATAGGGATCATGAGGGCCCCTACTTCCGAGCGCTGCGGTGGGACTTGGATGGGATAACACAAGCTTGGCACCATGCTTGGCACGCCTGGTCTACTTCACCTCAGGGCACTGGGATTAGAGACAGGCCGACAGGAAGAGCCAGGGCCTTCTCCCAAAGATGCATTCCTCAAGGACAGGACAGGAGATACTGATCGTGGGTCCGACTTCTCCAGCACGCTTGTCTTCTCCACACAACCCCTCCTATCCTCAGCGGTGTTCGACCCTGGGTTTGCACGTGAGGTGCAGTAGAGCATACTGGGTAAGCTCACAAACCGACTCCCAGGTTCCAACCCCAGTCATGCCACTCACCAGCTGTGTAACCATGAGCATGCTACTTGGCCTCGGTTAGGTACCTTGGTTTGCCCATCTTCGAAAGATGTGAGAATTACACGTAGAGGGCCCAGGACAGCATCTGGCAGAGTGTGAATTCCAGAAGTGTAGCAAAATGGGTCAGGGGAGTGGCCCCTTGTGCCGGTCTCCATCCTCCCCGAGGTGTGTGGCTTTCATCCACGCTGGGACTAGACAAGGAGAGAAAAGGAAAGCAAGAAAGTGCAGTGAGTTAGGCCAGAGTGACAAGTGGACAGAGAGAAGGAAAGATGCCTGCCAACCCTGATCCCTGCTTCAGGGGTGCCCTGTGTATGCCTCTATACACCTGAGCCCTAGGTGAGGAAGAAAGGACCCAGGAGTTCCGGAGAGATGTCTAAGGGAACCAGGGCTTCCTTATGGTTGGAACCTCTACTGAGAATCTGCATTTCTAACAAGCTCCCAGGTGATGCTAATGCTGCTAGTTAGGGACCAATTCCGAGAACCACTAGTACAGCTGCACCATAGGGTTTCCAAGGAGCAGCTGGTGGATTCAAACTGCCGACCTTTGGGTTAGCAGCTGAGCTCTTAGACCACTGCACCACCAGGGTTCCAACTAGTAGATGAGTGAGTCTCAAATTTTATTATACGTTAAGAATCAGCCGGGGATCTTGTTAAAACATAGATACTGATTCAGCATATCTGGGGGTGGAAAGGCAAATTATCAGCAGGGGTTCAAAGTGAACGAATTGGTTTGAAGCCCTGAAGTGAATTCAGTGCATTGTGTCCCTAGTAGGTGCAGCTCCCCGAGCAGGTGCCCAGGTGGAGGCTGTGCTGTGTCTCCCTTTGGGCCGTTCCCCGAAGTGACATTACTCCAGAAGAGCGTGAGCAGCCTCTTCCAGCAGGGGCCTCGCAGCCCCTCAGGCGTCCACTCACCCCTCACCCAGATCCCCTGTAGCCACTGAAGCCGGTTCGCCAGAGGGGAGCTATTTGACCGTCCCCACCTGGGAAACGCTCTCCCCGCACGAGAGATCCGGGCCCTTCCGACTGCCGCCGGTGTCTGCGCCCAGGTTCCCGCGGCACCAGGCGAGAGAACGGCCAGGTGAGAGATGGCACATGGCGCTGGGCTCTCGGGTCGCTATAGCAACAGGCTTCTGCGACCCCAGAACCCACCCTGTCCGCGCCCTGGCGCAGGGCCCGAGACCCCTTGGCACAGAGGCCCCTCTGCGTATTTCCTCGCTGGGGCGGGAAGGGCCGGGGGAGCAGAGGACTGGGGGCGCAGGGCCATGAGGGGGTCAGAAAATGGAGGCCGAGGGGCCTGGCGGACACCGAGAACGTGAGAGCCAAGCGCAGGCCCAGCGGGGACGCGGAAGGCCCGCGGGGGCGCGCGGCCGCCCCGCCCCGTGACGCATTTCCAACCGCCTGGAACCACGTCCCGGCCTGAGCGCGCACCCGAGGCCCGGGGCACGCGCCTCGTGCACGCGCGCCCGCCACGTGACCTCGCGCTGGCCTATCGGCGGGCCGGGATTTGGGGGGCAAAGCGCGGCCCCGCGAGCAGTTGCGGCGGGAGAGCGGCGGGGCTGAGAGCGTGACTCGCCCGCTCCGGCGCTGCCTCTGCCTTCGCCGCCGCCGCTCGCGCAGCCATGTCCGAGGAGAAGCCCAAGGTAAGCGGCCGGCGGGCGGGCGCGGGCCCTGCTTCCCGCGCTCCGGCC